AAAAGGAAGTCCTAGTGTGACAAGCAGTCGAATTTTTTAGTCTTTCAAGCTTCCGTGATGAATTCTGAGGTCAACAATCGACAGTTATCTAGACATCTCTGCGGTAATGAGGTAATTATCATAAAGCCGACAAACTAGTTATAAAACTCTACCGCTTTGGACGAGTTTTTTTTTTTCTTTTTTTTCTTTTTTTTTTGAGCCAGGAAACGATGTTATTTAAGTTACGAATACCACATTATTTCATCAGTAATTTTAAATTATGAAAAGTAAGGAAAAACCTTTACATTTTAACGATACCTAGAACAACCTCTGGGTTGATCTAAGTCAGGGCACGGCTAAATTACGGATGGAGTTGGAATTTAGAGTGTTGGGTTTTACGAATGGAGGAAAATTCTCGAATCTAAAGTAAACAAAATATGAATATATGCTTCCATCGATATTTGAAATATAACGACTTTTTAATTATTTTTTGAGCGTTTTTTAAAAAAATTTTTACAAAGAGACAGTTTATATAATTAATTTTTGCTTAACATTTTTTACATGGTGTCCCGTGTGTCTAAAAAAAAGAAATAGAAAAAACATGTTGAACAAACTATAAGGAAAGAATGCTTTATAGTTTACGTTTCGGACGATTTCGAACTTTGAACCTTCTGTCGGTGTATAAATATTCACATAAACCAACTGAGTAAAGTAAAGAATGCACAACTTCCAAAAATGCAAACGCTTTGAAATTCCACGGACCTTGACTGGAACACGTGAATTTTCTACACAAAATGGACGAGGCTTACCCTGAGCAATAGAGTATTTTGGACCGGATTATTACAGTCTAGGAAATGACCATTGCAACAACTGATCCTCTTCTGACGTTTACACTATCTTTTATCTTCTATAAGCATCATCTTTCTTCATTCTCGTTACCTCAAGAGCTCCTTAAAATGAAATATTGCAAGACACTATAAGATAACCCTTAGTTTGTCAGCTTTACCGCCCTCGAACGGCACAAGTTCTTGTCGACGTAATCTCGAGTGATGAACACAAGAAGCAGATGTAAGTCCTGAGTGATGAAAATCTAAAATAATGACTCACATTTAAATCCTATAAATATTCGAAGCATTTTAAATTTTGAATTCTTTCTTTTCCAGAGAAGCAAATTAGTTATGAAGGTCATGTTGTCAAGTTAGCTTTGGCAAGTGTTGAAAACTATCTAGCTTGATGATGTTAAAATAATTTTTCATATCTTTGGAGATAAGATATGCGGACGCTTGAAGAAGAAGAAGAAGAA